AATAGTAAACAACTACCGCTATCCGAACATCAATTAGCAATAACAACCGTAAACAACAGTACACATCGATAAATAGTAGTAAACACACAATGCGTCGTCACGCATATCAGCTCGGAGATCTCCTACCACAGCTTAGCCTTACGGCCTACAACAGCTCCTATCAGCACGGAGCACAGCACCACAATAGTGGCTAACAGCACCGACTTAGCGGCTATAACAGCACCACAATAGTGGCTAAACACAGCATACCGCTCAGCAATAAACAGCACAGCAAAACAGCTCATAGCACAGCACAACACCAAAATCAGCATACGGCACAGCTAAGTAGTATTCAACACAGCTTACTACTCACAACTCGGCTCATCATTCTAGAGCACAGCCATATTATAAATCAGCATTTAAAATCATCAATAACAGCCCAGCTCAGCATAGCGAGATACATCTATTACAGCTTAACATCATTTTTCAGCATTTACATCTAGTCAGCACAACATATCTATCAATTACAGCATAATTCAACAACTATCAGCATATAATTCAGCTCGACTCAAACAAACAATAAAGTTTAGCATTAGCATCACATATCACAACTCAGCGTTACATCATTAACAACAAACCGCACAACACAACTTTTCATCACACGGCATTGGCAACATTAATCAGCATAAACAACATTCAGCACAGCTCAGCTTAATAGTACAGCCTATCGTCTTACAACACTTCTAAGCATCTTACAACAATATACACCTAACACAGCTCAACATCCTCAAACAGCAATTTCAGCTAGTCATCCCATCATATTCCTCAATTTCGGCTTAGTTCAGCATAAAACAATATATTATCAGCAATTCAGCATATAACTTCATATCCTCATACGCGCCCGGTGAACTCATGGTCGCGCCTGGCATGGCACAACCAGAGGGCTCCAGGGGCCAGCGCGCCCGGCGCAAGCGTGCCTGCGCCCGGCGAGACTTAGTCAGAGTCCAAAGCTCTCTCGCGCTGGGCGTAATACCCGATTACGCCCAGCGCAGACCAGGCAGAGACCTCCCTTGATCTCGCGCCCAGCGCAAACTAAATTGCGCCCAGCGCCCTCGAGATAGCAATGAAGTAGAAAATGTAGCTTAAATATCCTAATGATGTTTTATGGGAAAAACTTTCTATCGTACTTGATACCTTGTATTGAAAAAAGTTATAAGAAATATTAATATGATCATAGCATACGTTGTTCATAGAAAACAATATATCATAAGAAATAGAACCAGAAGTTAACACCTTCCCAAATCTGCAAGGTGAAATCGAGTGGTTTCCAAAAATGAGTCACAAAAAACCAAATCTTCATGAATGAGAAACAGAGTCATCATGGCTTCCTCCCAAAAAGTTACGGTGAAAGGCATTATGTCTCCCCTACATTCTTTTGTTCTCATAAATTTCAACCGCTATCATCTTAAAACAATTCTTTTAGATCATAATTTATACAGGAAACTCGTGAGGAAGATCAGGGTTGGCCTGCAAAAGTTCAGCAACATAGAAGCACTAGTGCAAAATATACAATATACGTTAGCGTATTCTCGTCAGACGTAAAAGTACTCGACGTTAAAAAAACAGTAATAATTTTAAAAATAAAGCAAACTTTTTTACGTCGGACAACTGAGAGGACCACGTAAATATGAACATTTACATCGGACATTATCCACACATGGCGTAGATTTTCCATTTTACGTCG